TCAACCCCAGCCAAGGTCAGCCACATAATTTGCCAGACTCAGTGCAAAATGAATAGGAAGGGCTGCTTGCTCAAAAGGGATAGGAAAAAAATATATATACTTTTAACATTTTTAGTAGACTGTGCCATTTATGATTAGATAAGCAACATTATCTTAGGTGAAATATAGAGCATCAGAATGACGTCCACAAAAATTATAGAATAAGGGCCTCCCCAAATTTTCTTCTCAATAAAATCCATGAGAAAGCTGGAAAAAAATTGTCAAAATCAGCTTTCTTAGAACTCTTGGAAATCAACCAAAGTCTTGGACCAATCTGTGGAACATTTACTCAAGAAAAATGACTGAATCTTTTAAAAATGGCAAGGCCTGTGGCATTTTAATTTGCCCTATGTCCTTTCCACCTGTCCAAGTCTCAGCTAGCCTTCAAAAACCAAAACTATTTCATCGCAGTTGAAAACCAGCAGCCTAATAGGCACTGAAGGGAGTAGTAGATTGGGGTAGAGAATCTTCAAAGACTGAATCTGAGAGAATTGTCACTATTTGACCTCTTTGGTAGCTCCCTGCGAGACTATTGCAAGACATTCTTGATTTGATCTGACGTGGAGCTCTCCCAGTCCAAAAGCATTTTCCCAGGTGGGCATTTGTTAAAAAAGGAGGCAATTGCATGATTCTTTGTGCGTGTGATGGGGTAGATAAAATTTGGGACAAACAAAAGGCTAGCTAACCAAAACACTTAAAAGGAAGAGCTGGAAAATGAGACGTCCACAGGGTCTTTAAAATGCACCAACATATTATTGCGAATCTGGGAGGCCATGCTCTTGTGAAGGGATGTGCACATGCCCAGGGATGTATGTATGCTTACGAAAGACTTGAGAAAGAGCTAAGTTTTTACCTCTGACTGACCTTGAGCCTCTCTGCACAAAAAGTGAAGGCTAAGGCAGAATATTTAATTGTTTAGAGGAATATTGAAGTAATGACCCAATATACACACACACAATCTCAGCAAACATGAGAACACTTGTTGGTTTGAGGTTTAGTGAAAAGACAATCTGTTCAAGTAATAGCTGTCAAGTAAGCTAACCAAGCAATGGCTTTAATGATAACACACGGCCATTGAAGAATATGGAGTTTACAGAATTAGTTTAGAAAAATCATTAAAAAAATAAACAACAAACCCTGGAGAGTGGGGAGAATTTTATTTGCAGAGTTGCCCCATAATATTATAGCATATGCCTAATTTTCAGCAAAAACTATAATGCATGAAAAAAATTAAAGAATTTCTGATAAAAGGAACAAAAGTAGTTACTGGAAATTGTACTGAGGATGTTCAGATGTTTGACTTACTATACAGACTTTTATTGCTGTTTTGAATATGTTGAAAGAACTAAAGGAAAATATGTCAAAAGAACTAAAGGAAAGTATAAGAACAATGACTTATCAAATTCAAAATATCTGTAAACAAAAATTATAAAAAAGGAAACAAATAGAAATTCTGGAGTTGAGAAGTGTAAAAAAAAAAAATTAAAAAAATCACTAAAAGGCTTAAGAGCAGATTTGAGCAGACAGAAGAAAGCATCAGCAAACTTAAAAATAGGAAAACTGAGATCATCCAATCCAAGGAACAGAAAGAAAAATAATGAACTGAAATAAACAGAAACTCAGAGGCCTGAGGGAACAGCATAGATACAATGTGAGTCTCGGAGAAGAGAGGAGAGGCCAAAGAGTCAGAACAAATATTTGAAGAGTTAATGGACATAAACTTTCCAAATTTTATGGAAAACATTAATACATACATTCAAGAAGCAGAATATTTGATTAAATGTGCTATACTTTTTTCAGTTCTTTCAGGACATTCTCTTGAACTTTAGACCTTAGGAATTAATATGCTCATTTCTCAGACTGATAAAAAAGGTCTACCCCAAGCTGGGTCTATGAATTGTTCAGAAATTTAAGGGAAACGTCATTATTCATCCCTCATAGTTGTGCACATGTGCCACACATTTGTTAGAAGCAATCATTCACCTGCGATACTTCTGTGTTTGTTCTCTTTATCATATCGTAAGCTCCTAGACTTCTTGTAGTTATTTCATATTGACCACTCTATAGTGTTTCTAAAACTTGGCTCAGCTCCCCACTTGTAATAGAACTTCAGTAAATATTTATTGGAAGGATAACACTTTATTTTTCTATTTATAAAATGGGGAATAAATTACTTATAGTTTTTGCAATAAAGATTAAATAAGTGCAACCTAGGGAAGTTTTTGGCACAGTATTGGCAGTTGGTAAATATCCTGCATTTCTGTTTTCACGCTGAGAGATCTACCAGTCCATAAGGTTGTTTTTTTGTTTGCTAGTTTGTTTGTTTTTGCATATACGTATATGTACGTATATGAATTCATTGTCAGCATTCAAAGATTGAGAGATTTCATATAAGATCTGAATTTCTAGTTTTTCTGTTTAATTGGATCTTTCAGAAAGTTCCAGTCAGGAGCCCTCCATGGCCACGATAGTCTGAAGCTGAGTAAAACTGCCATTTTTAAGAGAATAAGCAAGTTCTTCTGTTTGACTCAGTTTCCACCTGACACTATTCACTCATTTAAGTTGCCAG